GCAGCAATATCCTGGTCCACAAAAAGACAAAAAACGGTGGCACTATCTTCCACGGAAGCTGAGTTCATGGCAATAACTGCAGCTATACAGGAGTCTGTTTGGTTGAACGACTAGAAAAAGAACTCAATCCCAACAACAATGTCAACATGGTTTTGTATGTGATACCAAAGGAGCTATACAAGTGGCTACAAATACAAGTATTCGTCAAGGACAAAGCATGTGGATATTAAAGCCAATTTATCAAACAGAAATTGACAACAATGAAATATCTTTGAAGTATCTTTCAACAAAAGAAATGGTTGCTGACGTTTTTACCAGGCGTAACTCCACAGAAGTTGGAATATTTAAAGGAGTTTTGGCATTCTTAGTTCCAACTTGTATTGTTTTGTAATTATAATGTAAGAAATATTAATTCAGGTAGAGTGTTGAGAATTGAATCAAATATGTACTTTAGCATAAAACACTTGTCCAATATTATAATAATCTTATAGGCTTTGATATCAATATGTTTGTTGTCAAATATGTATTTCAGTTTTTTCAGTTCATAACGAATTCAATATAACAGGGTCTCTCCGAGTTTTTTCGATAGAAAAAATTCAAACGAGACTCTTGGGTCTCTCCGAGGTTTTTTCGATAGAAAAAAATTCAAACGAGACCCTTGGGACTCCTTGAAGTTTTTTCGATAGAAAAAAATCAAACGAGACCCCCCTTGGGTCTCTTTGAGGTTTTTTCCATAGAAAAAAATTCAAACGAGACCCCCCTTGGGTCTCTTTGAGGTTTTTTCCATAGAAAAAAATTCAACGAGACCCCCCTTGGTCTCTTTGAGGTTTTTTCCATAGAAAAAATTCAACGAGACCCCCCTTGGGTCTCTTCAAGGTTTTTTTCATAGAAAAAATCCAAACGAGACCTTGGGTCTCTTTGAGGTTTTTTTTCATAGAAAAAATTCAAACGAAACCCTTGGTCTCTTCGAGGTTTTTTCCATAGAAAAAATTTCACAAAACCCTTGGGCCTCTTTGAGGGTTTTTCCATAGAAAAAAATTCAACGAGACCCTTGGGTCTCTCCGAGGTTTTTTCGATAGAAAAAAAATTCAAACGAGACCCATGGGTCTCTCCGAGGTTTTTTCTATAGAAAAAAATTCGCTGAGACCCTTGGGTCTCTCCGAGGTTTTTTCTATAGAAAAATTCGCTGAGACCCTTGGGTCTCTCCGAGTTTTTTCTATAGAAAAAAATTCGCTGAGACCCTGGGTCTCTCCGAGGTTTTTTCTTTAGAAAAAAATTCGCTGAGACCCTTGGGTCTCTCCGAGGTTTTTTCTATAGAAAAAAATTCGCTGAGACCCTTGGGTCTCTCCGAGTTTTTTCTATAGAAAAAAAAATTCGCTGAGACCCTTGGGTCTCTTTGAGGTTTTTTCCATAGAAAAAAATTCAAACGAGACCCTCCTTGGGTCTCTTTGAGGTTTTTTCCATAGAAAAAAATTCACGAGACCCTCCTTGGGTCTCTTTGAGGTTTTTTCCATAGAAAAAAATTCAACGAGACCCTCCTTGGGTCTCTTTGAGGTTTTTTTTCCATAGAAAAAAATTCAAAAACGAAACCCTTGGAGCTCTTTTATTAATAATTTAATAAAAAGTCCCTTCAAATTTGGTTTTATGTTTTTTTTGTCTTTTTTAAAAATGACTAAAAATCTTTATTGATTTTTCATTTGTTTTAAATTAAAACTAAAAAAAAGAAATTATATATATGTATAGGTATGATTGGGTTATGTTTGCTGTGTATAATAATAAATGTTTTTGTTTTCGTTTTCATTTTTATAATAACAAATATATAATTCAATTTTCGTTTTATTTGTATTTTTTTGAATTCTTTCTTCATTTAAATATACATATCAAGGAGGACTTATTAACAATACAAAAAAAGAGTTGTTTTTTTATCTAATATAATAATAATAAATAATTAATAATAAAGGTACTTGGTTAAAACTAAAACACATACATGTTTGCCAATCATGGGGGTAGATGAGACAAAATAATAATAATAATAAAATTATTAAAAAACAAATTAAAATTATAATTGTGTTCGATTGCGGGTTATTTTAAAAGAAAAAAGGATGCTCTCAGTGGTATTGTTAAAAAGCATCCTTTTAGATAAGTTTTTTTTTTTTGGTACAAAAATTGCAGAGATTTTTTTTGGAAAATGTCATTACTTTTGCCTAAACAAATGGTACAACAAAGTAAAAAAATTAAATAAAAATACAATAATAAAAGAAAAACAATGAGAGAGATATAAAATATTTATACTAATATTAGTATTTTGTTGCTTATTTTTTATCATTATTTCAAGTGGATAGTTTTTTTTTCCAAAATAAGTAACATTTACAGTTCCAAATAAAAAAAGAAAATTATGGAAAAATTTGTTTTGTTTTGGTAATAGAAAAAGAACAAAGGATATCCTAGCTAGACTATATTCAAATAGCTCTAATACAGTTTTGAGATATGAGGGGGGAAAAGATTTTGATTTTAAATTTAAAATTTAGACATTTGAAATATCACATTTTCCAAGGTAATCTATAAAATTATCTGGGAAAATGCCACATTCCAATGGCTACATAATGAACAAAATTTTAATTCACTTACTTTGAATTCTAACCTTAGTAAAGATCATAGACAGGCTTACAATGTAGTTTTATGTTCTGCTTTAGTTTTATAATTGTTTTTTTTTTTTTTTCTTCTTAACACTTTTTTTAGGTAGGTAAGCTAATTTCTTTTTAATTATTTTAATATTATATTTAATTCTTATTTTTTTCTTTTGTTTCTTTTCAATTTAACCATACAACGGTTTTATATAAATCACAATATTTATTCTGTTTTCTGTTTTTTGTTAATAAAGTTGGTTTCTAAGAAAGGAGGAAGGACGAATTGTTGTTTCCTTGGAAAACAAAAAAACAAAAACCTTATCAAAAGGGGAAGCCATGGCAAAATACAACAACAGAGTAATAAAATAAAAATGACTAAATAATTTTGCATACATTTAGCTTAAGCTCCCAACTCCTCCGCCCTACTCCTCCTCCGCCTCCCTCTTTACAACAAACAAAAATCTAATCGTTTTCTTTTTTTTGTCCATTACCAAAATCTTGCCGTATTACTGCGGGTGGCATGGGATGTGTGTACTGGTTCATCATTGCTATCTCGGGGCAATGCAGCCACAGCTATGCCACCTTGGGTAGGTGTTTGTATAAAAACCGAATCTGTTTCATTCTCCACAACCGGTTGTTGGCTATTATCTACAGTGCCACTGGCCTGTGGCTGATCTATGGGATCGCTAGTCACCACAACACTAGCCGGTTCATATATACACTGTACGGCGGCTCATCATCGTCTTCCTCCTTAAATGAACCACTTAAATTCGGATTTAGAACATTATTTGACGAATGTGTAGCTATCGATTGGGAGCGTGGCGTCGCTGCCACACTGCCGTCCATGTAGAGGCATTTGCATTGGCCGTAGGCTCACCAGCTATGACATCACTCAGTATATCCTCATGATAGGGTGGTGCTGCCACACTAATTGTGGTTGGGTTGCGTCTAAACCATCTGGAAACATTTCAAATTAATTCAAACTCAATTAATCCAACTGATTCGACATACCTGAATATTGGTAGGGACCAAATACTTCTGAGCCATCACTGTTAAGTTGAGCCGCCAAGTGGGGTGGTAGGTTTGGTGAACGGTCAAAGGATTTATGCGACGAGCAGGGGTTGATGATAGCACTGGGAAAAATAAAAGGAAGGATAAATAAATCAGAAAATTATTTGGCTTTTTCTAAAGAAAAAACCCTCGGCAAATTTTTTCTATAGGAAAAAACGTCGAAGAGACCCAAGGGTCTCGGCGAATTTTTTTCTAATGAAAAAAACGTCGAAGAGACCCAGGGTCTCGGCGAATTTCTTTCTATGGAAAAAACGTCGAAGAGACCCAAGGGGAAAAAACCTCGAAAAGACCCAAGGGTCTCGTCGAATTTTTTTCTATAGAAAAAAACCTCGAAGAGACCCAAGGGTCTCTCGGCGAATTTTTTTCTGTAGAAAAAAACCTCGAGAGACCCAAGGGTCTCGGCGAATTTTTTTCTATAGGGTCGAAGAGACCCAAGGGTCTCGGCGAATTTTTTCTATAGGAAAAAACCTCCAAGAGACCCAGGGTCTCGGCGAATTTTTTTCTATAGAAAAAACCTCGAAGATACCCAAGGGTCTCGGCGAATTTTTTTCTATAGAAAAAACCTCGAAGAGACCCAAGGGTCTCGGCGAATTTTTTTCTATAGAAAAAACCTCGAAGAGACCCAAGGGTCTCGCGAATTTTTTTCTATAGAAAAAACTCGAAGAGACCCAAGGGTCTCGGCGAATTTTTTTCTATCAGAAAAAACCTCGAAAGAGAACCCAAGGGTCTCGGCGAATTTTTTCTATGGACAAAAAAACGTCGAAGAGACCCAAGGGTGTCGTCGAATTTTTTTCTATGGAAAAAAACGTCGGAGAGACCCAAGGGTCTCGGCCTATTTTCTTCTTCCCTACAAAAAACCTCGAAGAGACCCAAGGGCCTCGGCGAATTTTTTTCTAAAGAAAAAACCTCGAAGAGCCCAAGGGTCTCGGCGAATTTTTTTCTAAAGAAAAACTCGAAGAGACCCAAGGGTCTCGGCGAATTTTTTTCTAAAGAAAAAACCTCGAAGAGACCCAAAGGTCTTGGCGAATTTTTTTCTAAAGAAAAAACCTCGAAGGGACCCAAAGGTCTCGGCGAATTTTTTTCTGAAGAAAAAACCTCGAAGAGACCAAAGGTCTCGGCGAATTTTTTTCTGAAGAAAAAACCTCGAAGAGACCCAAAGGTCTCGGCGAATTTTTTCTATTGAAAAAAACGTCGAAGAGACCCAAGGGTCTCGGCAAATTTTTTTCTATAGGAAAAAACCTCGAAGAGACCCAAGGGTCGCGGCAAATTTTTTTCTATGGAAAAAACCTCGAAGAGAGACCCAAGGGTCTCGGCGAATTTTTTTCTATAGAAAAAAACCTCGAAGAGAGACCAAGGGTCTCGGCGAATTTTTTTCTATAGAAAAAAACCTCGAAGAGACCCAAGGGTCTCGGCGAATTTTTTTCTATAGAAAAAAAACCTCGAAGAGACCCAAGGGTCTCGGCGAATTTTTTTCTATAGAAAAAAACCTCGAAGAGACCCAAGGGTCTCGGCGAATTTTTTTCTATAGAAAAAAACCTCGAAGAGACCCAAGGGTCTCGGCGAATTTTTTTCTATAGAAAAAACCCTCGGATAGACCCAAGGGTCTCGGCGAATTTTTTTCTATAGAAAAAAACCTCGAAGAGACCCAAGGGTCTCGGCGAATTTTTTCTAAAGAAAAAACCTCGAAGAGACCCAAAGATCTCGGCGAATTTTTTTCTAAAGAAAAAACCTCGAAGAGACCCAAAGGTCTCGGCGAATTTTTTTCTAAAGAAAAAACCTCGAAGAGACCCAAAGGTCTCGGCGAATTTTTTTCTAAGAAAAAACCTCGAAGAGACCCAGGGTTTCGTCCAATTTTTTTCTATAGAAAAAACCTCAGAGAGACCGAGGGTCTCGGCGAATTTTTTCTATAGAAAAAACCTCAGATAGACCCATGGGCCTCACGAATTTTTTTCTATAGAAAAAAAACCTCGAAGAGACCCAAGGGTCTCGGCGAATTTTTTTCTAAAGACAAAACCTCGAAGAGACCCAAGGGTCTCGGCGAATTTTTTTCTAAAGACAAACCTCGAAGAGACCCAGGGGTCTCATGAATTTTTTTCTAAAGAAAAAACTTTTTTCTATGGAAAAAACCTCGGCGAATTTTTGATATGGAAAAAACATCGGAGACATACAATTGGTCTCGGCGATTTTTTTATGAAAAAAAAAAACTTCGACAATCCTAGATAAGATCTCTTATATTTTAATCTTGAATCCTTACTATTTTCATCATCCGATGTAACATCTGCTGCACCACCACCCGGTGTGGAGCCCCGTTGAAATGTACCATGACGTGTGGAGTTGTTCGATGACATTGTTGTTGTCAATGAACTCTGCGACGATTGTTGTAACAATGGGGCGGTATCGTCATCAGTATCCACTATACTATCCAATGAAGACTGTCGATTCCGTTGTGATCGGGCTTCGCCTTTCGTAAAAACCTTACGCTTGCAAATTGGGCACTCGCGCTTGTTTTCGGTTAGCCAAACATCGATGCAATTGCTGTGATAGGCTGTTAGGAAAGAAAGAAACGATAAATTGTATTCCTAATTTCCTTGGAAACAAAAATCTTCTCAAAAACTTACGATGTTTGCATGGTAAGACCCTTAATTTATCACCCTCGGCAAATGTCTCGATACAGATCACACAAGTGTCGTAGGCAATGTTGCTGTTTTTCGTAAACTTTATGATGGGCAGCTTTTTCAACATGCGCTTGGGCAAGCGGTAGCGACGCAAATTTCTTTCTTCTCGTATACATCTGTAGATCATGTAGAATATCTATGGGAATAATTAGAGAAGTTATTCAAATTTCAAATTTAGGAAAATCTCAGCGACCTACCATTGTTAGAAAACATAGACCAATTAGAATGGAAAATGGTAAAATCAATTGGGTATTGATATTGAATGGCAGCTCATCGTTTATGACCAAAACAATTTCCGGTGTAAAGAATGATCGCAGATTCATGCCCGTGGTATGGCCAACAAAGACCGATGGTATCATAATACCGCTGGAATTTTGGGCTGACATGTGTTCTGAAATTGAAAATTAAACATTTGTTTAGAATTTAGTTCATTTAAAAGGGGTTTCCGAGAATACAAACCCAAATCATCACTGTTATTGTTGTAGATAACCACAGCATCGAATCGTGCCGCCTGGGCATTGCGTACCTTCAACTCGAATGTACAATCCACACCAGCCTCTGAAATGATAGGAATAAAAGGGAAGAATATTTGATGCAATTTGATGGTTTAGAAAATGGATTAGCTTAAGAGATAAATAGAGGTATTTGAAAGCGTTAAAAAAAGAATTTAAATAAAGGCAAATTAAATGACAAAAAAATTGAAAAAAATTAAACTTTTGTTATTCGAGATAATCTATTCAAATATCTCAAAAAAATGATTGAAACTGGAAAAATCTTTGAGGTTTTAAAAATTAATTCTTTTATCTGCCCTAAATAAAAATAACATTTTTGAAACGTTAATTTTTTCGCATCATTGGAGGCCATTTAAATTGTCTAAAAAAATTGGAACTTTAGAAATCCTATAGTTAATGGGTAGTTTGTTCTCCCATGTCTTTAAAAATTTAGATACTGCCTTCTTGGCCTCAGATCTTCCACAAAAAAAGCCACTGGACTGCCATGCATTTTAATTCTGTATTTTATTTTGTTTAACCCACTTCCTTTCCCAAATCCTCGCCCTCCAGACGGCATAGAAATCGTAAAGTATGGGGATAAATGTACGATCATGACGTCGGTGTGGATGACATATGTGTAAGGTTGCAGCCTACTTCCACACGAGAGATATGAAAATATCCGCACCTAAATCAACGATCACACTCCTTACCACATGGTATGCGGATATGATAACACAGCTGAATGTGCAAGTTGTGGGAATTTAATTCCGAACATGAATTACACCTAGGGGTCTCGCGCAGCTTACCGTATACACAGCCGAATAGAGGGAGGGAAATTAAATTCCGAACTGGAATTACCTCAATATCCTAGGGGTCACATTTGGCAGTTTGTTCAAGCCACAGCTATCTGTGGACAAATGAAAAGTAGGAGTAAGATCCTCAAGGCGCACTTCGGGTGCGGAGAAGGAGGCTATGTTGACATCTGTGGTCAGCTATGCAACTCGAGTGTGGCCTGCAAATACATGTGCAGGTTATGGGAAATTTAATTCCGAACTTGAATTACAACCAGGGGTCTCGCCGAGCATAACGCCTGCACATCGGAATAGAGGGAGGGAAATTTAATTCCGACAGGAATTACCTCAATATCCTAGGGGTTACATTTGGCAGCTGGTTCAAGCCACAGCTATCTGTGACAAAAGGCGGACTTCGGGTGCGGAGAAGGAGACTATGTTGACATCTGTGGTCAGCTATGCTACTCGAGTGTGGCCTGCAAATATATGTGCAGATTGTGGGAAATTTAATTCCAAACACGAATTCCACCTAGGGGTCTCACGGAGCTTACCGCCTACACAGCCGAATAGAGGGAGGGAAATTTAATTCCGAACAGGAATTACATCAATATCCTAGGGGTTACATTTGGCAGCTGGTTCAAGCCACAGCTATCTGTGACAAAATGAAAAGTAGGAGTAAGATCCTCAAGGTGCACTTCGGGTGCGGAGAAGGAGACTTTGTTGGCCTCTTTAGTCAGCTATGCAACTCCATTGTGGCCTGCAAATTCAAGTGCCACGCAGTAGAAGAACCAGCCAGACCAGCCAGAATGCCGCCCTGAGGACTGCAACTGGTACCTCCCAATGACACAAGTAGACCATCTACAGGAAGAGCTAAAGATACTTCCCGTACGTCAAAATAACCATATGCTTTCCAAGCAGTACCTACTTGCGAGTTATCGTGGGAGTCATCCAAAGCATTATATGGTGGATAAAACTCCTCCACCCAGGCGTGTCAGGAAGAAGAGGGGGAGATTGATGACCAACGCTGTAGGAGAGTGTTTCTAGATCAAGAAGCTAATCAGCAAATGTGAGTCAGGTATGAATGTCATTCTGGGAGTTCATTTCCCATTCATAGCAGCTGAAGAACGTCGGCTGCCTAGACAACCAGGATAGTTTTGGCACAATTATGTTCAGGATGGTAAAGTCTTTTCTGTTGCAGGACATAGCAATATTGTAGTAGGAAATGAAGTGTTGAATTAGCTCGAGGCGAATGCCAGTCGATTGATTTAACGACTGATGCCAGCAGCTTCAAAAATCTCCCATCGAAGAAGCTAACAGAAGATGTCACTTTTAAACCGGTTGTATGATATCTAAGCACATCTGGCCGTTAATTTGGAGGAGCTGAAGAACATCTGATCTAACAATCGTGGTGGGCCCAAGCAGGGCTATAAACTAGGATAACCGTGAATATTTTAAAGATAACTTTTTGAAGTACCACCCCAGAGCTATAAATTTGGTGTTTTAAAGAATATTGTTCGAATGCTAAAACGAGGATTATAAAAGAATATTTTTTAAAGGACCTTCCGGGACTATAGATATGGATTTTTACAGAAAGCACATCCAGTGCTATAAACAAGGATTGTTAAGGATATTTTTCATGGACCACAAAGGCTATAGATCTAGATTTTTAGGAGAATTTTCCCGAGGACTTTTCAAGGACCTATATGCTTCAAACACGGTAACCTTAATAGTGCCTCAAATGTAAATTTTCAACCTCAAACAAGAATTTTTTAATAGAGGACTTTCCATGGACTATCCGAGCTTTAAAATGGGTCTTCAGCAGATATTTTCGATATCTTTTTTAGGACCAACAGTGCCTCAACTGCACTAGGACCAACAGTATCTTAAACATGGATTTTTTTCGAGAATTTCAACAGATATTTTGACGACTTTTCAAGGACCAACCGTACCTTAAACATGGATTGGTCAAGAGTATTTGTTCAAGGATTTTCGAAAGACCAAAAGAGCTTCAAATGTGGATTTTTTTAACAAAAATTTGTTCGAGGACTCTCCAAGGACCCAAAGTGTTTCAAATGTGGATTTTTAGCAGGATCTTTTCAAGGAGTGCCTGAAACATGGATTTTGCGATAATTTTTCAACAACTTTTCAGGGACCTAAAGTACCTCAAATATGGATTTATCAACAGATTGGTAAGAGGACTTGCCAAGGATGAAAAGACCTTAATTATTAAATTTTCAACAGAATTTGTTGAGGTTCTTCGAGACCCAACAATGTCTCAAATTTCAATAACCTTTTGAGGAAGGAATATTTTCGAGAACTTTTCAAGGACCCTCAGAACGGAGTAATTTTCAAAGGCCCACGAAGATTTTTCAACAGATTTTTTCGACGACTTTCCAAGGTCCAACAGTACCTCAAACTGGAATTTTCCAATAGTATTTTCCATGGACTATCCGAGCTTTAAGATTCGATTTTCAACAGAAATTTTGGATAACTTCGAGACTTTTCAAGGACCAACAGTGCTGCACACAACGACTTCTTCGAGGATGTTTCAACTGATTTTTAGGCGGCTTTTCAAGTACCAAATGTGTCTCAAACGTGGATTTGTCACCATGATTTGTTCAAAGACTTTCTAAGGACCCAAAGTGCTTCAAATGTGGATTTTTAGCAGAATATTTTCAAGGACCAAGAGTGCCTAAAACATGGTTTTTTCGACAAATTTTCAATTTTTTTTAACAACTTTTCAGTGACCTCAATTATGGATTTCTCAACAGATTGGTAAGAGGACTTGTCAAGGATGAAAAGACCTTAAATTGTTAAATTTTTAACAGAATTAGTTGAGGCTTTTCGAGATCCACAATGTCTTAAATCTGATTCCGATAACCTGTTAAGGAAGGAATATTTTCGAGAACTTTTCAAGGACCCACAGAACCTCAAATATGCACTTTTTTCGCATATTTTTCAAGAGATTTTTTCGTCGACTTTCCAAGGGCCAACAGTACCACAAACTAGAATTTTTCAACAGTATTTGTTCGAGGGCTTTTAAGGACCATCCAAACTTCAAAATGTGATTTTTCAAATACTGAATGGTCACTGCAGTATCAGATATTTGACCTCAAAAGAAAAAGATATCTGATAACAAGAAAAAGAGGTAGAGACGATTGAACATCTACTTTGTATCTGCCCCATTTTATCCAACAAGAGACATAGGCTATTTGGAGACAAGCTGGAGACAGAAATACTTTATTTTCAGGTATAGATCCCATCATCACTAAGAAATTGCCACATTTTTTGAGGATTTTAAAGACCATCCAAATTTCAAAATTTGATTTTTCAAATACTGAATGCAGTATCAGATATTTGACCTCAAGAAAAAAGAAAAAGATATCTGATGGCAAGAAAAGAGGTAGAGACGATTGATCAATCTACTTTACACCTGTCCCATGTTATCCAATAAGAGACATAGGCGATTTGGAGACAGGTTGGAGACAGAATTTCTTTATTTTCAGGCATAGATCCCATCATTACTAAGAAATTTGCCAAAGCCATTACCTGGCTAGTCAGGCCACCTACACTAGACTTTTCTAAAGCTTTTCTTCTCCTTCTCGCTTCTATCTAGCAGTTGCTGAATTCATGTAGTTGCGCACCTTAAACCAATTAGTATTGGACACGAATTGGCGAAGATGTGCAAAACGTCCGTCAATTTTACAACAGACATATACCTTCAGTCCAAAACGTTAATATGCCGAAAAAATGCAATTATTTTAAAAGAAAATCTAATGCTAGAAAATTATAAAAATAAGCTTTAAAATAGTGCATTTAAAAAAATATCCTTCTTGTTTTTACAAAAAAACAAAGAGTACCTTTGATTACTAAACACAATCGGCATATTTTACGGAAAAAAGTGAATAAAACATATTTCAAAATTAATGTCAAGTAGTATTGCAAATTCTGTATTCAAATCACGCATTGATACCCACCTTTGTATAATGGCTGCATATTTTGCATTGCTGGGATAACCAAGGTTGTGAGTTGGTGGTGGTGCTATCTTGTCACAGGCATCGCTGGGTACAGCTGGCACCGCAAACACCTTAATGCCGCTCGATGTGAGACTGGGTCCAAATTGGGCAGGCATATCATTGTATTCTTCAATGAGCTAAGGGGTTTTAAAAAAAAAGTATTAATTAAAAAAATCCGCTATTTTTAGCAACACAACTGTAAGAAATTTACAAGAACCTGATTGGTAATGCGTCGATACACCAAAATGTGGGCATCAACTTCCAGCAATGGACTTAAAATACATGTGCAGGCTATCAGAAGTGGTGTCACAAGGCGGCTACATTTTAAAGACTCCATTATAGATGGCCAAAAAAATGCAGAGGTTTGCAGAGCCTACGGGAAATTTAAAAAAAAAACATATTCAGTTTTAAAATTGTATTCTATGAAAATCATTAAATTAATCTTATACAAACTTCCAATCGTTGAATGGGCCTGTGACCTGCTGCCTGCAGTGTTAATGGCAGCCGTGTCTTGTTCTCCTACACAGGCAGAATTTGTTGGTGTTTCTCCTTATTTTTTTTTTTTTTGTTTGTGGCTATATGACGTTACTTGCTGCCGAGGTTCTTCTTGACTCTACGTAGATGATATCGTTGTATTTTGTTTGCAGTCGTCGCCGCTTTTTTCTTTTCTTGCTGCTGTTGTTGTTTTGTGTGTTTTTGGTCCCCTACAAACAAAGAAATCTTTTAAAGTGGATCGAATATTTGTTGTCGTTCTCGTAGCTGATTTGATTGATGCTGTGCTGCTGCTGTTGTTGTTCCGTCGGCTGTTGCTTTTGCTGCTCCTGCTGATCTTGTTGCTGATGAGGTTTGATAACAAATTTCCTATTACAAGTTGCATTTGTATGCCCATGTAGTTATACGCAATGTTTGTAATGTCTGCAAAGAAGGAGAAGAAGAAAGGTAAAGGATTTTGAATTAATTGTTATTTCAAATGAAATTTTCGGAAAATTATTTTTCAGAGCTTTCAAAATTAGATTTTCAGAGAAAATTGCAAGGGCTGGATTTTGAAGAATATTTTCGAAGGACCACCAAAATTACATTTTTGAAGGACTATCAAGGATATACACGTGGATTTTAAAACATATTTTTTCAAGGACCTCTGGCAATATTTTGTGGAATTTGATGGCTAAATACTTTTCAGGGATCAACGGAGCTTCAAAGTTAGCCCTCCAATGACATTTTTTGAAGGACTTCAAGGACCTCTGACAATATTTGATGGAATTTGATGGCTAAGTATTTTTCAGCGATCAACCGAGTTTCAAAATTATATTTTTAAAAGAAAATCTTTAAGGGCGGATTTTTGAAGAATATTTTTGAAGGATCATCAATGACATTTTTTGAAGGACCACCAAGGATATGCACGTGGATTTTAACAACATATTTTGTCAAGGATCTCTGACAATATTTGGTGGAATTTAATGGCTAAATATTTTCTTCAAAATTAGATTTTTTAAAGAAAATGTTCAAGGGCCGGATTTTTGAAGTATATTATTTTGAAGGACCACCAAATGACATTTTTTGAAGGACAAAGACCTCTGAAGCTACAAACAAGATTTTTACAAACAATATTTTTTAGCCGACCAACAAGGCTTCCAACGAGGATTTTTGAAGATTATTCCTTAAAGGACAAACAGAGCTATAAACGAGAACAAAACACAAAAGGAATAATCGACAATTGTTTTTAAAAACGAGGTTTTCAAAACATGTTTTTTTGAAAGAACTCCAGAGTGATAACCGAGGATTTAAAAAAAAACAAGGGTAGGATATCCCCCGTGGATTTTAAAAACATACTTTTTCAAGGCCAAGAACAAGGTTTTTAAATAATATTTTTTAGGCTTCCAAAGAGATTTTTCAAAGAATATTTCTTCGAGGACAGTCAGAGCTATAAACAAGGAACAACAGAGCAATAATCGAGAATTTAAAAAAATATATTTTTTGCAAGGACCACCAGTTCTTTAAACGAGGATTTTTTAAAAATATTTTTTGAAGGACCTCCAGAGTGATAACCGATGATTTTTTAAAGAAAAAATTTTGAAGTAACACCAGAGCTATAAAATTTGTTTTTTTTAAATTATTTTTCGTGGACCCCCATTGCTAAAACGAGGATTCTTAAAGAATATTTTTTGAAGCACCTCCATGGCTATAAACATACATTTTTACTGAATATTTTTATGGGCCTCCGGGACTATAAACATGGTTTATTACAGATTATTTTTTGAAGGACCTCCAGGGCTATGAACATTGGTTTTTAAAGATCCACCAAAGCTATAGATGTGGATTTTTAAGAGAATTCGAGGTGCTATAAACGAGAATTTTTAAAAAATATATTTTGAAGGACCTCCATAGTGATAACCGAGAATTTTTAAAGAAAACTTTTTGAAGTACCTGTGGAGCGATATATTTTGATTTTTATAAAGAATGATTTTTTGAGGACCACCAATGCTAAAACAAGGATTTTTAAAGAATATCTTTTGAAGGACCTCCAGGGCTATAAACATAGATTTTAACAGCATTTTTTAAGAACCTCCAGGACAAGGATTTTTGAAGAATATAAACAAGGATTTTTAAATAATGTTTTAAGGACCTCGAATGCTATATAGGGTGAAATGAAAAAACGGCATCCAACTTCAGACTGCTTCCTTTTCTAACCCATTCGTCCGACAGCTGTTAAAATTATTCCAGTCATAGCTCATTATATTGTTTACAAGCGAACAGAAGCATTTTGGTGAGAATTTTCCAGAAAAAAAGTTATTCGTGATGGAATTCATGCGTGATGGTGTGATCGAAACCCACGTCGCTGTGGCCGAAAAATGGCTCGGGAGCTGAACACATCGCAATAATTCATTCGGCAATATTGAAAAATGAGCTCGAGGTAAAGCCATTGAAATTCCAAAAAGTGCAAGAACTTACACCGTAAAGGAAAGAAAATAGACTCATAAGAGCTAAAGAGTTGCTTCGCTTGGCCGAAATTGGTAAACTGCCGAATTTGACTCTCTCCGATTAGGAAACATTCCTTGTCCAGCAGATTGTAAGCAAAGAAAATGATCGTGTTTACTTGTCAAAGAGGTCAGCTGAAAATGGCCACCAGAACTCTAGCGACGGCCATGGTGATGGTGTGGGCCGCCATAATAGGCGATGGTCGCTCTCCGCTCGTATTAATCGACCGTGGCATCAGAATAAGTGTCTAATATTATAGCGAAAATATTCTGGAGGGTGTACTAAAGCCTTGGCCACGCAAAAATTTTGGCCGCAGACTTTGGACTTTCCAACAGGACTCAGCACCATCAAACTCAACACGCACCACCCAGGAATGGTTACAAAATGAGGTTCCTCGTTTCATTTCCAGCGCACAATGGCCACCGAAATCTCCGGATACTAATCCGTTGTGTCTGAAGTATTTTGGAAAGCAAGGTTGGCACTAAAAAATACCAAAGTGTCGATCCCCAAAATACCGCAGAGCAACATTCGGGCAGCGTGTGACGATTTCATTGGCCATTTAAAGGTCATAATTCGTGTCAAAGGTGACCAATTCGTACAAATCTAAAAATATTCTAAAATTTGATGCTATTTCCGAAATTTGCATTCATTCAATAAAATTTAAAAAAAAATTGAAAATTATGGTGTCTGACTTTGTTGCAGTTTTTTTATCTCACTCTGTAGAAAAGAATTTGTAGACTTCTATTCAGAAAACCTTGTGGTCTTCCATGGAGAACACCTTGTGGTCCTCTGTGGAGAAGACCTTGTAGTCTTCTATGGCGAAGATCTTGTGGTTTTCTATGGAGAAGACGTCCAGGTCTTCCTGTTTCCAATCACAAAGACTTTCAGCTCTTGTATTTGGAAGTCAACCTGAATTTCTATCGATAATGCTTCCAGACTCTTTGTACTCTTCTCTGAGGAGTCATGTTGCTCTTCTATGAGAAGATCTTCAATACTCTGAGAAGTCATGTGGCTCTTCTATGAGAAGACCTTCAATTGAGAAGACCTTCAGCACTTCTAAGGTGAAAACTTTGTGATCTTCTTTCGGCTTCTATATAATAGAAGTTCCTTTAATCTTAGAGAGACTTTTTTCTCCTCTATGGCATTTTATCTCATTTTGTGGTCATCTTGCGGCTTGCTTTGAAAAGTCTTCTATATAATAGAAGTTCCTCTAATCTTCTATAGAGATGACCTTTTTTTCTTCTATGGTCTATTATGTTATCCCTTCCATCTTATGGTCTTTTGATCCCTGATCGAGAAGACTTTCCTGGTATTTTATGAAGAAGATTGCGATTCCTTCCATCGCAACATTGATTCCTGATCCCCCTTTTTCTACTATCCATTGTGTATTTAAATCTATGTGACCCCACCATCAATGATCTCACATTGCTCTATTGAAATATGATAGTTCCATAAATTTCCTCACGATAAGATACAATTGTAGCCGTCAATTGAATAGGAAGATAAAAAAGACAAATAGTTATTTACAACGGCCTGTAAATTTTTTTCAGAGGTCTCCATTTTTTTGCCAATGCAAATGCAGTTAATCTTCAATATCTGCAAATATTTGTTTAATTAAATATCTCCCACTCCCTCCTCTCCCTTTGTTATCATGAGGTCTTCATGATTACAGATTTTATGGCACACATACCTACCTACGTATTTACAAATATTATCACTAGCAACGACGAGGAGGATTACTGTCTGTGCTGCAAGTGTGAAACTGTAGGCTGTGTTTCGAGTTCAATAACACATTGCCTTTAAAAAAAAAAAAAAAAAAAACAATTTTTGTGACAAAATAAACAAAACAAAAAATGCAACAGCGCAAAAGAGTGGAGGAAAAACCAGATGACCAAGGAAACATATTTTTTTTATTTTAATTAATAATTTTAAAGCGGAGATCTGGACAGGCAGCATTATTATTTATAAACCACCGGTGGACACCTTTAAATAAACAAAAAAAAAAACAAATTTCGTTGTTTTCATTCTCAAGCCATGCCATGGCAATTCCATAAACGGAAACTGTTGGGCCACAAAGAAGAGCGAAAAAAAAAACCCAAAAGAAAGTTCCACATTTTGGAGGTGACAAGGGGCGCAGTGAATGAATATCAACCGACATTAAACAAACAAAACGCGATTATTGACAAAAAAAAATGAAAAATAAAATATAGTACGCATTAAATTAATAGTAATCAACGACAATAGTGAGTAGGGCTGGCTGGAGTGAAGGAATGACTCACTTTCGAATGGCAACAAACAAATTGCATTCGGTTTTGCTTTTTTTCAACAACAAAAAAGTTCTTGCACACACGAATGCATTGACTGGCTAGATGTGTTGTTGTATTTCTAACAAAGTGAATTTCTTTTAGTTTTGTCGTTGTTGTTTTTTTTTTTTTTCAATTAATTTTAAGCGTGGATTTGTTTTTGTGTGTTTCAATTAGATATTATGCAAGGCGAAAATAATGCAGCAGACAAATTTTCAATTTAGCAAAGTTAATCGTCTATGAATATTTAATTATTTTTTACGACAGCAATTTCAATTTTGTTATGTGGCAGACACATGGACCCAGGGGTCTTGCAAATTTTTTCATAGAAGAAACCTGGACGCCTAAATGGTCTTGCAATTCTTTTTCTATAGGAAAAAAAACTCGGAGTCTCGCAATTGTTTTTCTATAGGAAAAACCTCGACGAGACCCCAAGGGTCCCGTGATTGTTTTTCTATAGAAAAAAACCTCGATGAGACCCCAATGGTCTCGTGATTCTTTTTCTATAGAAAAAACTCGGCGAAACCCTAAGAGTCTCGTGATTGTTTTTCTATAGAAAAAATCTCGACGATACCCAAGGGTCTTGTGATTGTTTTTCTATGGAAAAAAAATCTAGACGATATCCAAGGGTCTGGTAAATGTTTTTCTATAGAAAAAATCCCGACGATACCCAAGGGGTCTGGCAAATTTTTTCTATAAAAAAAAACCTCGACGAGACCCAATGGTTTTTCAAATTTTTTTTCTTAAGAAAAAACCGTGGGTCTGGCGGTTTTTCCTATAGAAGAAAACCTCGACGAGACCCAGGGGTCTGGCGAATTTTTTTCTATAGAGAAAACCTCGACGAGACACAGGGGTCTGGTGAATTTTTTTCTATAGAAAAAACCTCGACGAGACCCAGGGGTCTGGCGAATTTTTTTCCATAGAAAAAAATCTCGACGAGACCCAGGGGTCTGGCGAATTTTTTTCCATAGAAAAAAATCTCGACTAGACCCAGGGGTCTGGCGAATTTTTTTCTATAGAAAAAACCTCGACGAGACCCAGGGGTCTGGTGAATTTTTTTCTATAGAAAAAACCTCGACGAGACCCAGGGGTCTGGCGAATTTTTTTCTATAGAAAAAACCTCGACGAGACCCAGGGGTCTGGCGAATTTTTTTCTATAGAAAAAACCTCGACGAGACCCAGGGGTCTGGCGAATTTTTTTCTATAGAAAAAACCTCGACTAGAGCCAAGGGTCTGACGATTTTTTTCTATAAAAAAAAACCTCGACTAGAGCGAAGGATCTGACGAATTTTTTTCTATAGAAAAAAACATCGACTAGAGCCAAGGGTCTGACGAATTTTTTTCTATAGAAAAAAACATCGACTAGAGCCAAGGGTCTGGCGAATTTTTTTCTATAGAAAAAAACATCGACTAGAGCCAAGGGTCTGGCGAATTTTTTTCTATAGAAAAAACCTCGACTAGAGCCAAGGGTCTGGCGAATTTTTTTCTATAGGAAACAATCTCGACTAGAGCCAAGGGTCTGACGAATTTTTTTTTTTTTCTATAGAAAAAAACCTCGACGAGACCCAAGGGTCTGGCGAATTTTTTTCTATAGAAAAAACCTCGACGAGACCCAAGGGTCTGGCGAATTTTTTTCTATAGAAAAAACCTCGACGAGACCCAAGGGTCTGGCGAATTTTTTTCTATAGAAAAAACCTCGACGAGACCCAAGGGTCTGGCGAATTTTTTTCTATAGAAAAAACCTCGACGAGACCCAAGGGTCTGGCGAATTTTTTTCTATAGAAAAAACCTCGACGAGACCCAAGGGTCTGGCGAATTTTTTCTATAGAAAAAACCTCGACGAGACCCAAGGGTCTGGCGAATTTTTTTCTATAGAAAAAATTAGACCCAAGATTCTGACGAATTTTTTTCTATAGAAAAATCTTGACCAGACCCAAGGGCCTGACGATTTTTTTCCATAGAAAAAACCTCGACGAGACCCAAGGGTCTGGCGAATTTTTTTCTATAGAAAAAACATCGACTAGAGCCAAGGGTCTGGCGATTTTTTTCTATATGAAAAATCTCGACGAGACTTCTTTCGGATCTGGCAAATTTTTTGCTCTAGAAAAAACTTCAACGACCCAAGAGTCTGGCGAAAAACCTTGGGGAGGTAAAAGGCCATTTGGAATTCTACTACGAACAAAAGATATTATTCCTCAGAAGACCTTCCGAGAAAAAAGATTCCTACTTGAAGTTTTCTAATAGAGAAAGAGAAAAACCCCAGAAGTTTGGAAAGTTTCATGATTGGCGAATTTTTCGCTCTAGAAAAAAATTGAAAGACCCAAGAGTCTGGCGAAAAACCGGGGAAAATCCACGTGGAGAGAAAAATTTTGGAGGGATCCGAGGGGTTTCACGATTTTTTTTTTTAGTAAAAAAAAATTGGGACCCACGTGTTTGCGATTCCTTCTCGTCCAATTCTCGAACCAAAGATTTGACCATGAAGCTCTTCGTATTTTCTCTAATTTCTGTTGATAGTTCGAAAACCAAATTATTTTCTTAATTTGCAAAAATTACATTTCCTCGCCGTACAACACTTATTCGATACTGCCCAGGCTATTGTCACCATGGGGCACAATTACGAAATTGTATGGATTATTATCAGGGGAATTCCCCTAATAGATTGAATGTTTTACAAAACTAATATCAGATATACTTCGGTGGGGCGAATTGTACTTTGAATTTTGAATGTTGAAACACCAAAAAATAAAATCACAGGTCATCGCTGGTATGAACTTGAAAAAGGAAATGGAGAAAACTGTAAGAATCCTCCCTTAGCTTAATTAGGATACCTTGAAATTGCCAAAAAAAATAATGCCATTAACTTTAGGATTTGCATTTTTACCGAAAAGGAGAGCTTTCCTAGGTGCGTTTTTCAATGATTACCTTAAAATCAAGTCCACTTTCCTGAACCTTTAAATAAAACAAGCTATCTACTGGCATTTCTAAAAATATTTCCTTTTAAAAAAAAAGGACCTTTGTATACTTGTTGGCCCCGTTGTACAACACATGGGGGACAATTAAAGGTCACTATGTAAAATGAAATTGCACATTGGCATGAACACATTATTGTGGTGAGCACATTCAACCCAGACCTTGAAATATCGTTCATGGGGTACAGGGAACTGGAAGAAATTCTAGCAAAAGCAAAATTCGCTACATGTCCGGAATCACGATGTCAAGTCGCAAGCTTCACACTGCTAGTTTAGCTCTCATATTTAAGAACCAACACTTATTTTCATTCATATTTGTATTGCTTTGCTTTTTTGTTTTTGTTTTTAATCTACATCACACTGCTGCTGGCTGGCTGGGCGTTTTGGCTATTGGGGCTCTATTGTGTATTATAGACAAACGACGAGAGTGGAGAAAAAATGTGACCATAACAGGGTGACAAGGTGGGGGGGGGCCAAACATCCATTTGTGTTTATCGAAAACATAACAACAAAAGGTGGGTGGTGAAACTGAGGTTTTTTCTGTCGTCTTGTATTGACATTTTTGTTGTTGTTTTATTCCTTATGATTTCGTTTTGTTAAACTTTTAAACTTACTTGATCAACTAATTCCCTCTGGGTGTTGAGCGTTTTTTTTCGGAAGAAGGAGGAGGACAATGCCAATATGTTGTAATGAATTGCTTTTCCTTTCTTTACACACACTTAATTTTGTTTTTCTTTTTTTTTCTTGTTTCTAGTAGAAAAAATATCGTGAAATCAAATTGTTTTTCTCGTCGTATCGTTGCTTTTGCCTTTTTTGTTTCTATTCTTCTCTTTTTCTTGCTGCTGTTTTTCTCGTTTCAATTGCGTTCAATTACGATCCCACAAATCATTTTCGTTAATTTCTCGACGTTTTGGCCGATTCCAAAGAACAATTTTCGGCTTGCACGCTAAACCGTAGTTGTTATTTTATTTGCGAACACATTTTTATCCACAAAATGTAATTAATTTCGTTGAAAAATCTTTGTAATTCTTCTCCAAATAAATCCACTTTACACAAAAGAAAAAAAATTCTAATTGAATTGTCGAGTGTTGTCAACGCCAATGGTTTGGGGAAAACGCATTTTTAGTCAGCGATCTCGGTGATTTGTTATGGAAAAGAATTGAAATAATCAATAAATTACAATTAATATAAAATTTTGTATCTAAATTTCAAATTTTGTGGTGAAAATACAATATAAACTTTAGAAATATCCTGATTTTTTCCTATTTGTTTCTCTTTTAAAACACAAAAGACAAAACAGCTGATTAATATGTTCACATTTAGAGGGGGTTCACATTCAACGTTGCGTTTGTTGACAGAGAGTTGAAGAATATATGGAGAAACAAATAACAGGGTTCACATGTGATTTGACATTTTTTGGAACAAAATATCACAAAATTGTTAATGGCCTCATTTATGAACAAGTGTTTAATAATTTTAATCAAACAAATATGACTGCCACTGACGCTATTTAAAATTTTTGTTAGGAAAATGTTCTCAAGCAAGAATTATTTGCATGATTGCCAGCTTGCGATAGCCAAATATGTGGATTTTGAAGTATCGCAAACATGGTAAAATTCAACTAAGTCAAGGTAACCTCATTCCATATATATTTACATTTTCTGCAATTTTTATTGTCAAATGCAACTTTATTCAAAAAAGGTTTCTATCTCTTGTTTTGTGAAAAAGCATTGGACTTATGAATATACATTATGGCAATGGCGGGACAATAAGGTGTTAAACCAATTAGACTTAATACCAACATTTATTTACGTTTTGCTTATTGTTTGATCATTGACAATTTGGCAACTAATTTCATGGTAGAAGAATGCAGGTAGTCTCATCGACACAGCTGCTGGGAAAATTAACTCTCAAATAAATTTTGGAATTAAAAATTTTGTATGAAAAATCATTCAAACTTGTAAAAAAAAATTAAAATATGCATATAATAACAACCTCCGATTGGTGTCATTTCTAAACCACTCGTTCGACAACTGTTACAATTATTCCAGTGTCAGCTCATTATATTGATAGTGTGATTTCCTTATATTTGGCTGGAAAACCACAAGTGGCTATCGTTAGACCACTCCAGCAGTTAAATGTGAAAAAATTGTTGTGTCTCGTACCATAACTCGTTACCTGGCGATACTGGTAGCGAAGCCCGACTTCAAGGACGGAAATGGACGGAAGAAAACAGCAACATCAGCAGAAATGGTTCGAAAAGTAAATAAGCTACTTGATCGAAACTCGCGTGATGGCAAAAAGTGCAAGAACTTACACCGCAACACTTGCTTCGGACTTGCTTCGCTTGGCCGAAAGTGGGATCTGACGAATTTGGTTTTCTCCGATGAGAAAACATCCGCTGTTCAGCAGTTTGTAAATAAACAAATGATCGTGTTTATTTGCCAAAGAGGTCACCTGAAAATGTGCACCTTCGGTTGGCCACCAGAACTCAAGCGTCGGCCATGGTGATGGTGTGGGCCATAACGCCATAAGAACCGATGGTCGCTCTCCGCCCGTATTAATCGACCGTGGAATCAGAATAAATGCCGAATATTATCTCGAAAATATTCTGGAGGGTGTATTAAAGCCTTTGGCACGCAAACATTTTGGCCGCAGACCTTGGACATTCCCACAGGACTCAGCAACATCGAAAATGAGGTTACTCGCTTCATTTTCCGCGCACAATGGCCACCAAGATCTCCGGTTGCCAATCCGTTGGACTATTGTGTCTGGAGTATTTTGGAAAGCAAGCGCTTCGCCGGGAATGGGCCAAAATACCTCAGAGCAACATTCGGGCAGCGTGTGACGGCTGTATTGGTCATAATTCGTGCCAAAGGTGACCAATTCGAACAAATCTAAACTTATTCTAAAATTTTATGCTATTTCCGACATTATTTACTTTCGTTCAATAAAATTTAAAAAAAATGTAAAAATTATGGCATTTGACTTTGTTGCAGTTTTTTATATCACTCTGTATGTTTGTATTAGATAACTCATGGTTGCATTTTCCAAAAAAAAATTGTTTTGTGTAAACCCTATATAATCTGCATGTGTATGATGTGAACCACCCTAAATTGTTTGCGTCTCTGCTAGACTTAGGACACCAGCCTTAAAATATGCTTTATTTTTTAGACTATTTGCCATTGAAAAATTATTTACCAGACATTATTTTCATTCTTTTAACTTAATTTACCCAAGTTGTGTTCTTCTTCCCATCGAAAATAAAATCTTTTTTCATTTCTTCTTAGAACAAAGACTTTTCCCATTAAAATATATTTCCTTAAACAATAGCATATTGTTCGTACAACAGCTCACGTATCTTATAATATTCCTCCGATAGACAACCCTCCATTGTCACTTTACCCGTATCAATGCGACGCAAGGCCAACGAACCGTTGCAGCACCACAGCACACCACCGGAAAATTCCGAATTGATATTGTTACGCATAAGGATCTGTTTGAAATCGGACAATTTCAATTCATTAATTAAGACGGAATTGTGTACAGGTATTTCATCCGTTTCCAATGATTCCAGTGTGAGGGTTCTCTCCTCTGTCGTCGTTTCGGTGACATCATTATCGGCTTCGCTGTTTTGATTGGTGGCAGCCGCATCAATGGCTTGGGTACGCATACCAATGCGGGCATCAATCCATGCCACTTCGGCATCTTTGCCTTTTTGGAATTGCAATTGGGCCACAAGGCCCTCGGTTAGGCGGACTTGATAAATGTGGGTCTCCGTTGTGACATCCACAGTCTGTAAAGAGTGGATTTTTGGAAAGGAGTATGGAATTGAATTATTGCACTTACCTCCCCCTTGTGTGGTGCAAACACCCGGGCGCCAATGTTTTGTTCACAATGCCTGGCCACGGCCATTGTGGCCTCCTCCACGCCATGCACCACAATGACACGTCTGGGCCGTAATTGTGAGAGAATTTTTAGCATAGATTCTCCATCCGATCTCCCCTCAAAATCGATGCGTTGTATTTGGGCATTAATCTCTATGGTTTTGCGTTGCACAATACACTTGGTGGGTTTTTCTAGCAACTGGACATCATCATCTGTTGTGGATTTTTCTCCCTTCACATCTTCTTTTTTAACATTTTCCTTATTCGACTCCTCCATATTGACATCGTATGCCATATCGGCAATACGATAATCCTCCAAATTGATAATTTCTCCATACTCATCACATTTGATTTTCTCTTCGTGGAAGGGAAACATGACATGATGCCTCTTGTTGGACTTAAAGAATCCTGTGTGTTGTTTACCCTCCGGCCTTATCACTATATCGTGTTTCCCCGTTATAATGCTCATTTCGATGTCATCATCTGAATCGGAGCTGCTCTCCTCATCGACATCTTGTTTGACTATCAAACGATTGACTTTTTCTCCTTGAATGCGCAAATACTCTTCAAGTTCGGCACCCTCCAATTCGACGCGTCTTCTAATGTCCAGTTCTATTTTACGGCCTGGAGTGTGATTGTCTACCAAATCCATGGCCAGGGTTCCCAGAGAGGTTCTGAAACATAAAACATCAAAAGAAACGAAAAAATATAGATGCTCTCATGTCCACTTACCGTGAGGTAAAAATAATGCTGTTATTGGGATTCCCAGCCCATTGTACAAACAGCTCCCTTGTGAAACCACTTTCCATATCCGGTTCACTGGCCAGCACAACCTTTGGTCCGGGCAGTAATGCTAGCTCCGCCAAACTATGACACAGCTGCATGTGTTTAAATTGAAAGGGATTATTGCGAGCCCCCTCAAATGTCTTCATCAATTTATCACTCATCCATTCTATCTGGGATTTGGCGAATTCAATAACATTATAAGAGAAATTATTCAACAAGGCCAGGGTATAGGCCATAAGGCCAGATTCTTTATTTTTCCACAACTGATCCAACATGTGAGCCAATTCCAATACCCTACCCGCCGTATCAACAGCAATTAGGACATTTCCATTTCCCCGCAAAGTCTGTAAAATATTGGTCATAAGTTTTTCATCTCTTGCCCTGCGCCGTGCCTGTTGATACAGCGCATTAAAGGCATCAGTTATCAGCAATGAAGGTCTTTGCAGCCTCTCCAATTCACAGCCATTGAGATGGCGTTCTTTTTTGTGATTGAAATCCGTGGCATAGACAATATCCTCTTCGCCCACCTTGAGGATCTTCCATATGGTACCACCAATCATGTGACCAGCAGGCAAAGGGGTAATTGCAATTCCATAGGCTTTGCCTTTCAGCGACACCGTTTGGTTATATTTCAATTGAATAATTTTATCAAATGCTGCATCCACATCGTCCAGCGAGAACAAATCGAAATCATACATGTTGAAGTGGGACATGTACAGATCATACATAAACATTTGTCCCATTTTATGTACGGGTATGGTAGCATAAATCGGACAATTCAGACCCAATTTTCCCACCAAATATGGCAAGGCACCCAGGTGGTACACATCCGGATGGGAGAGCAGTACTGCATCAATACTATGTACATGTCTGGAAGAGAGACAGGTCAATTGTTAATGGTTAATGAAATACATCCATATGCTGATCCTACCTCTTTACTTCCTTGATAAAATTTGCATCAAACTTTTCATCCCAGCCACAATCGAGCATGATTTTGACTTCATCAATTTGCAGGATATAACATGGGGGCGTCTCGTCCATGGCCCCCGAAACGGTGTGTAATTTAATAATAGAAGTCATTTTGTTGGATGTTTTCGTCCTCTTTTATGGAGAAATCATTAAATTTCTGATTTTAATAAATTTTGTGCGAAAGTAAACAAATGAATGCGGCATTTGGAAAGAGAGAAACGTCAGATCGCTCTTTGTGCGTGTTAGTGAACAACGTTTCGTAAGATAGCATATTAAGCCATGCTATATTACGTTACGTGGTTATGTCTTTCGGACAACAAAACTTTTTTTAATAAGTTGTGGGATAAAGGCGGGAGTGGCCCTTTTTTCTCCATTGCAATCCTGCATATTCATTAAAATAGTTACTTTCAATTTCGAATGGTTTTGTGGTTTCATTTCATTTACATTGCAAAAATTGCAACTAGTTCATTGGTTT